TGAGCGGAGCATCTTAAGGACCCAGACAAATTCGTTGTCATCATCATTCTTGTTTGGTTCGTCAGTAATGACTTGGGCTTTAGCTCGTTTGACTAAGTTCATTATCATCAAGACGCAAAAGTCACTATCCAAATAACCAGGTTCACGACGCCTTCGAGTCAGACGAAGTGAGCAATCAGTCAACAAAATTTAGGGATCCAAAGTATTCTAAAAATTCGTCCCAATCAATCGCGAACTTTCGAAAACTTTGGAGGGAGTTCTGTAGGCTATCTAAAAATCACAATAGATAGCTAATCCCCGTCAAAACTCAACTAAGAAGGTTACAATCAAATGACTTTCTTGTTAACAAAGGGAAGCTACAATCGGAGGATTCTCCTATAGATCAAGAAGAGATTACAAGTCAATGATTTCTTCAAACTAAGAGGCAGAATTCATCCCTGCAGTCAAAACACAAGTGGCTATGTTCCAAAGGTTAAAGCAATGCAATCAGTACATTAACGCAGCTCAAACACAACACAGACGCAGCTCTAAACGCACTGCGTTCACAACCACTGAACGCAGCATAAACGCGGTACTAATTCAACCGCGGACGCAACTCAAGCTCAAACGCTGACGCATCATCCAAAGGTATACGCATGTTTAGGCCTAGCAACGCAAGACTTGTGTTTGACCTATTCCAACCTGATCTGGCAATCCCGAAACTGCTCTTCACCCACGATTCGGGGAGGTGGTTTGAGTGGGTTGTTATACCCAATTAATAGGACGACTAAACCCCCATATAGGCACAGATTATGGGAGCAGTTACACCCCTAATACCCCTATAAATATCAACAAACTCAACAGAGTTCAGGATCGGATTTTGGAGATTGGATTCCAGAGGCAACAACCCTCAACAACTGAAGATTTCCAGATACGAGATACTTGGCTTCTCAACCGAATTATTTTTCGGCTCAAACAACTCTTTTTCACTAGAGTTCGTCACTCACTCCGAGTTAAAAAGCTCGTCAAGAGCTCTTAATCAGTTCCACTACACAAGTCAGCTGTTCCAGTAGATTGGGACGTTCAGATCATCAACGGAGAGTGAATTCGACGTGAGCATTCGAAGGAAGCACTCTATCGCCACCGTGAAGAACCCAAAATTAAACAAAGGGGAGAATCCAGATCATTCTCCTCTTTTTTGTAATCAGAATTCAAATTGTAATTAAGATCGAGAGAATATAAATCAATTTTTCCTTCATTCTTTTTACTTCAAATTTTCTACAAACAGAGGCCTTCCTGTACTTGTGAAGAGAGGTGGATCTGGAGGAGGAGGAGGAGACATACTCCTCGAACTTCTGTTGGTCGAACTCGTATTTGACCTTTTCAGCCACGAGGATCTTGATCGTTGGCTACAGCATGACAGCCTCGTTGACGAGACTGTTGCCTCCCACTGTGGTCGCCAGCTTATTTGGGGAGAAAGTCGATTTTTTCATTACTGTGTTCATTACAACTTCAAATGTTATAATGAAAACAAAAGTTAGTCTTTTTATAAGACCCTTACACAATGAAAATAAAAAAAAGTACAACTCTCGTCAATTAGCGTAACTGGTGTTTATTGCCCGCTGCTTGTGTGGGATCTTGGCCTGTGATGGGGATGTTGAGATCCGTGGACCACCAAACGATCAGATCAGATCTGGAGCTTCGTCGATTTGTGAAGGAATCAAGAAGCCGAAGCAATTATCTCGGCAATGATGAGATAATCACTCTTCTCGAGATCATCACAACAGGGCAATCTCAAGGCAAATGACCAGGACGTGTAGATCTGACGAACTCATTTGGGTGTCTCGGGTTGGCCGAGACATCAAAGAGGTGTCTTGACTTTGGCTTAGGGCTCGGTCTGTGCATTCTGTCCGTTTTCACCATATTTTTATCATCTAAACTCAGAATCACGCGATCCAGAATACATCGGAAAGTCGACGAGGATATCTATAAGCTCTCATGATTGAATCATATATGGAGTAAATGGAATACGAGGGGTGCTTCATCTTTCGTAAGCGACGTGCAGCTCCCGTTTCATTCGTGTTTCCATTGTTCCGAAATTTTGTTGCTTCACATGGTCCGTCGACTCATTTCTTGCATTTGTCGTTGTCAAATGAGCTTTTGTGACTCAAATAGCAATGTTCATCATCTTTTCTCTGTCTCGAGCCATGTGCGGGGACCTATAGGTAATTTTTAACACATAGACCCCCCTCTAGTAAGGAACGACCCATTAAAACTGTCATCTCATCTCATCGCCCCAATGTCTTTACATTAATAAAGTGTCTCAAACTACCATGAGCTTGACACAAATGCAAGAAAGAACCCCTATCAAAGCTAGAATGACATGTTACCTTTCTGCCAATACACTTCTTCTAATTGTTGTTGACTTCTAGGACTTCACACCAACGGACCTGGTTACAACCCACCAATGCCTAGAATAATCCCTAACTACGGAAACCAAATACCGATTACCTCCTAATGATGCCTCCTTGGAAGGCCCCCAAATGCCTGACTGAATACCACCTAAAAGACCCTTCGATCGATGGATAGAAGTGCCAAACTACACCTCGGTCTTCTTACACATACCAATGTGCTCAAAGGACTTCATTCTGCAGGTCAAAGCACTCCTCAACAAATCATGCGTGGCATAACTAATCAAATAACCCAGACTCAACAAATACCACAGTCTAGCCAAATCCAAAGAAGTCGTTAGCTCTTTATCAAACACCGTGCTCCTAATCAAATAATACAAATTATTCCTCCTGACGTCCTTCATCACAATCATTTCATCACAATCATGGACCCCAATGTGATCTACAAACGAGAATCGATCAATGTCATCCTATAGTCTGCTGCCTCCAAAACTCCAAGTAAAATAATGTTCTTCTTCAACTGAGGAACAAACCTCACTCTAACCAACTCCCGAATCACTTCATCACTCATCCTAATCCGAACGGTACCGATACCACCAATAGGACATTCATGATCATTACCCATGAGCATGATCTCCCCTCTTTTTAACTCCTAAAAACTAGAGAACCAATCCCTCCTAGGGTAAATATGGTAAGAAGCACCCGAATCCAACATCCACTCTGTAGAGTCGGTAATAAAAACTGACGGTAGTGCAGATAACGAGTAGCCCGAAGAATCCGAATCTGAATTATTACCACTAGCCTTGACTAGTGCAGATAACGAGTAGCCCGAAGAATCCGAATCTGAATTATTACCACTAGCCTTGACAACATTCACACCTGAAGCATGAATAGCTTTCTCCTTATTCTTCCCGGCTCGATCAACCAACTTTGGACACTCGGCTTTCCAATGTCCATCCTCTTTACAAAAGGCACACTGATTCCTACAAACTCTAAGATGTGCCCATCTAGACTACGACCTCCTATCACGGTTTGGACTCTTTGCTCTTACGACCAATGTTCCCGCTACCGGCTCAACTGAAGTCTCATTATTCTTCTTTCGAAGTTGATAATTCACAAGTGCAGCGGTGACTTCACTATAAGAAAGAGATGCCTTCTCATTAATAAGAGTAAGAACGAAGGTCTCATATTTCTTGTCAGGCAAGGAACTCAACAACAACAATACATTATCCTCATCTTCAATCATCACATCTATATTCACCAAATCCACAAGAAGCTTCGTGTAGTGGTTCATGTGATCACCAATGGATGTTCTCTTCTTCAATTAGAAGCGATAAAGCATCCTCTTCAAATGCAAGTGGTTCACTACACTCTTGGTCAAATACTTACCCTCTAGGATCTCCCAAATCTTTTTAGCCGAAGTCTCATTGATCACATCATATTTTAAATCTTGATTCAAACAAGATCTAATCACACCACACGCCGTTCTATTCATCTTTTTCCAAACATTCTCCTTAATGTCGTCCGGTTTTTCGTCCAACTCTAAAGTATCTTTCAAATTGTGCGCATTGAGTGCATCCAATACTTCACATCCCCAAAGACCAAAATTGTTTGTGCCATTAAATATCTCCACATCTATCTTCATAGAGTGGATATTTAAACTTTGAACAGTCTTCACGTTGGAAATACCCTCTACAACTCCTTCTTTCCCGACCATCTTTCTCAAAGTACCAAAACAAATACGAAACAAATGAAGAATAGATCCAAAACTATAAAAGATAGTCTTTACCAAAAAGATTTCATCTTTATCACCAAACGAAGCTCTAGGCGAGCCTCCAAAATGACCTACTCCTCCAAATAGCCCAAGCTCTTATACCCCTTGTTGAGCACGGCGAAAGCCAAACAACCGATGTGCTTCGAGAGATCAAATCAAACAAACGTTGAGAGAAGGCCAAACGAACCAAATCAATGCCACAAACACAAACAACCAATTTTAACGTGGTTCGACAAGTTGTCTACGTCCACGGTGCAAGAAAGGGATAGAGTTTTTCACTAATAGAGAAGAAGAGTACAAAGTGATATTACAAATCACTCAAACTCACTAATTAATCTCACCAATAAAAATCTAATTCTCTCCAAACAAAACCCTAACCAATAACTCAGAAAATATCTCTTTTCTATGCTCTAAATATCCCCAATTTTCTTCTTAATTTTCTCTTCCAATTGTTCCATATATATAGAATCCAAGATTTATTGTTCATGCTACAATAAATACTACCGTAAATTATTGTTTCATGAACAGTAAATCGTTGGGTCCCCAAAGTATATACGAGTAAATATATTGTTCATGCTACAGTATGTTACTGTATAGTGAACAATGCCATTTAAGTAGGTAAATAAAATTTGTAATTTTAAACATACATTGGTAAAAGTAAATGTATTAAACCTCAAAGGGAGGCCGATTTAAAATACAATGCTTAAAAAAAATAGGGGGTCGTATACAGTAGTACTCCTAATTTGGGAGAAACTGACGCGCTTAGATTAAAATCCTCAAATTCCCAAAGCTGACCAAAGAGAAGCTGATAACACTTGAAAGGGACATCTCAAGTCCCTTGAAATTTATTTACACTTTGCCAGGGTGTTCTTCTTCTTCCAAGCTACTTCCATCCACTTGAAATAATATATATGTACACATCACCCTCCAATTATTATTATTCATTTATATTTATCCATCCTTTCTCCAACACTTTCAAATATAAATAGAGGATTGTATACATAGAACTAGTTGGCATCTACCTCTAGATATCAGATAAAACAATCAATGGCTTCTAAATTCTCAATGAGGAGTGCCATTGAGGAGATCAATAGAGGAAAAAACCTAATGAATCTCCTCTACCCTCATCTTCAGCAACACACTGAAGCAACTGAGCTCAGTAAAGGAATACAACAAGCATTTGAATCCGCCCTAGCTATTCTTAAAGAGGCCGAACCGAAGATCGTCTCCGGCAAGAAAAGGCGGCGGCCGGAGGTTAACTCCGATGATCGGAAGGAGGGAGGTCAGAAGAGAAAGTAAGTTTTTAGTTATAATTGTTTATCGTGATATGATTGTGTCTTAGTTTTTATTTTATTTATTTATTGAAATAGGAAGAGTATTGATTCTCGGACGATAATTACACCGGCGCCTTATGATGATGGTCATCAATGGAGAAAATATGGGCAGAAGAAAATTCATAATTCCAAACATCCAAGGTGAGCTAAAGCTAAAGCTCTTTTCCCTTTAACTTTGGCTTAAGTATGTTTAGATTCTAGCAGTGACATGGTATAGAGTTTAATTCACCAAAATTAATTGATGATGAAGGGAAATAGAAATTAAGTTTTTAAAAGATTAATGATAGCTAAAAGGTTGCTTTATCCTGGATATTCAATCAGATAATAAGGTAAAAAATATGATAATATTTTTTATATTCAACGGCTATAGTTAAAGTAGTGGTTAATTTCTAGATTCACTATTTTTTTTTAATAGTGGAGACAATCCAAATCATCCAAATTTATACAAAAACTAAATCTCATAGAATAGAATTTTTCATAATGGACATTTTTCCTTGCCTAAGTACATAGTCTGTGTTCTGTTTTTCCCCTCTTTTTTATGTTTTTAATTTTTTTAATTCTAAACAATACAAGTTTTGTTCATTGGAGCCTAATATAAAAGTCCGTGCTAGCCAATAACAAGTCTATGAAGTAAAGAATAATGTATTATTTATCTATAGATCAATAATTGAATTTGGTTGCTCATTTGATAGATACCCTTGAGATCCGGTGAGGGGGGCGAGAGAGAGAGAGAGAGAGAGAGAAGCTGAGAAGGGACAAAAGCACAAGCTGCAAATAATTAATTAGAATTATTAGATTTAAATTAACATTCTAAACAAAGGATTACTACTCCAAGTACACATCGTGATAATGATACGCTAGTGAAATTAAATAAAAAATTTAATAGTGAACGTATTCAGATCTCATTAATATCTTTATCCAGAAATAAAGAAATGATTACATTAAAATATTCAATAAAAAATGATGGGCGGAAAAGTCGTAGCTCTTTAGATATTGTGTAAGCAAGAATTCATAGTACTGTATTAAATTAATACTTGGTCCTTTATTTAAATTACACCTGTTATATTAGTATATTAAAGAAATTAATTAGGTTGGTAAACTAATCCATCAAGGATAGAAGGAACATAAAAGCAAAGAAGAAAAAATAAAGGGGAAAAACTCATCAATTACAGCTTATGCCTTTGTGATTAAGTAGCTCAATATCTAATCATTATCAGCTACCTTGGTTTATATATTTGTTTCCCCACATTATAAAATGACAATAGATATATACTTGCTTGGCTGTGAGAATTGATCTAGATTAATAATTAATTATACAATTATGAAGAGGGGAACAATCATAATGCTCAATGGTCTGACTAGAAGACCTTTAGATAAATGATTTTCTATCTTAAGAATATTTGCTATAATTTGTTTTCTTAAGTTTGCTGTTTCTTTCGATCAAAAATGACAAGATAAATGAAGGTGTTAGGTTAAAAATCAAATCAAGCAGAGAAATGCAGTCCATAAGGGGGGAAATGAAGATCATAGATTATACAAAATCATAATTGATTGTTATTCAATTCAATGGTATTTTCTACCAAAAAAAAGCTACAAGTTATGGACAAGGTGGTAAATTCTTCTTTGATATTAAAACAGGTTAGAGACTATTTGAAATAAATTTGAGATCATCCCATATTGGGTGATTAATTATATATACTTTCCCTTTGAAAATATCTTTGATTGTAAATAAATCATATATTGCATAATTATATTCACTGAAATTATAATTATATGCTATACAGGAGCTACTACAGATGCACTCATAGTGATGATCAAAAGTGCCAAGCTACAAAACTTGTGCAACAAGAGGATGATGACTCTCAACTGTTCAAGGTTATCTATAGCAACAAACACACATGCAACGATACTATGTTAGATAATTCTCCTCAGATAATTGTCACCTCTCCATCAAAGGAATCTAACTTCTTCATTTTTGAGTCCAAGAGTTCATACTCAAAAAGCAACAATATTAGCAAGAAAGATCACAAGGACTCAAGTGAAGAAAAATGCAGCCTGGAAAGTGAGATTTGCTCCTCATTGACCATGAATTCAGCTATGAAGGAGAAAACTGAAGAGGATTCAAGCATTACTTCCATTTTCAGTGATTTTCCATCTAGCCCTTCTTCGCAGCATGATCCTTGTGGAATTAATTTTGATGACATAGATGATATTTTAAACTTAATAGTCTAGTGTGAATTTTGTTACAAGTTGGGAGAGAGACTGTAAGAATCATAGAGCTTTTCCATGTTTGGATAAGAAACGTAGTGTCACAAATTTCTGCCATTTTATTTCCTCACTAAGTAGCATATGTTTCCTATCTATCCAGATCTTGCTCTACCATACAATTGATGGGTTCTTGCGTTATTTATCTCGATTTGTTATTTATCTGAATCATCGATTAAAGTTAGAATAAATCCAAGTCAAATGAGGGCTTTGTCCACCAATTTTTTAAGTCGTTAAATTTGTTTAACATTCTTACTGGTGTGCGATACACATCAAAACTATTTTTGAGGTGTGCCACTTGAAATGTGTCAAACACTAGGACTAATCTCGAAACAATATTAAAGGACTAAAAAGTTGGTGAAAAAGAACTTTGGTTCAATTAACTCGATTCTACTTTTAATCCTCAATCATTTGTTTTAAAAAGCCAAGTGAGGATAACTGTAATTTTGAGTAAAGTAAGAATATCTTGACAATAAAAATTAACTGTGACTACTAGTTTTCTTTTCCTTTTTTGTCCTTTTTAGACATGACAGTACCTTGTCAGAACATTGTTCAGGTAGAATATTGTTCATGCAACATCTCTTATTTGATTAATAACAAAATCTTATTTACTACTGATATGTTCGTGAGATGATATATTTTAGGTATAAGCAGGTATGAACAAGTTGCGGTTTAAAATGATGCAAAAATCAAGACGAACGTTGATTTCAGCCTTTGAACCATCGATGTCAAGTCAAGTCATCGATGGACTAAGGAAAGACTCGAAGAAACAGGAATCAGACTTCGAATCATCGATGGTCTACAGTCAACCATTAATTATAGAAAGGATCATTGATAGACCACAGTCGTCAATCATAGAAATCCAAAAATAAAAATTTACATAATCGATGGACTATAGCCAACCATCAATGATCATCAATGTACCATCGATGATCACTTCTCACCATTGATGGTTTGGACGTGATTTGGCAGTTTTTGAAAGATTTCAAGATTCAATCTCAGCCGTTCGTTGATAGTTTTGGACTTATGTTAGAACTCTGATTGGGGATCTCTTTCCTATGTTTTCAAGACCTATTTAAAGGAGATTTGAGAAAGAGAATTAACAACATGAACAACAAGAAGAGAGAAGGCAACTAAGGTTTGTGAAAGAGTTTGATTTGAGAACTCAACCCTCGGAGCCTCATTCCACTTTTTCTTATAGCGCTTAACATTGGAGGATTGTTTTAGTGAGGAGAAACGCCCTTTGCGTGTAAATTTAACATCTCTTCTTCATGGATCTTCATCATCATTAATTTAAAGGGCGGTTTGTTAAAAGGGTTGTAAGATTTTTCTAATTTTGCTTTGGCTGTTTTTGTGTTGGTTTTGTATTTTAAACTTATAAGTTTGACGACGTACTCAAGCTGCGGTAATTGAGGGTTAGCATACTCAAGCCGGGTAAATTGAGGGTATCTAGTTAGAGCTAGGTTTCTTATGGATATTGTGAGGAGTTAGCTTAATTAGTTAACTTATTTCGGTTAGATTTTAAGGTCCTATCTGTAAAGCCTACCAAATCAGGTTGTGATTTGGGAGAACTATGGTCATAATGAATAAGGCCTTTCATGAGAAGGAAGAGTGTACATAGGATTTTAATCTGAACAACTATAAAAATATTGTGTATTCCTGTGTTGGTTTGCTTTTAGTTTTTCGCATATTATTTTCGCTTAATATTTTGAGTTTAGTCAAAAGTTATAGCAATCTTATTCAACCTTGCCCCCCTCCACCTCTAGGGTTGCATCCCAGATCCATCATACTTTGTGTGAAGTATCTCTTTTATTGTGTATCTGGTACAGGGGAAACAAATCATTTTCAACTAATTTTAGGAAGTGCTTAGCATTAATGATGTGCATGCAAATGTTGGTTACAGTAATGAGATAGATGTCCAAATATATGAGTAGATAATATTTTATCTTAGAGATAACATATTCATATGTGAGTATAGGATTCTATCTCAAAGAGCTTATACATAGATATCGGGTTTTTCATGAATGAGATAAAGATATGAGTCTATCTCTAAGCCGTTATATATAGATACATAGTTTTTCGCGAATCAGATAGAGAAAAAAAAGGATACATGCATAACCATCATCTCCTTCACAAGTCAAGTTTATGCCGGTAGTCGTGGTATAATATGCGGAGGCTTCTTGCTGGTTGCATGATATGGTCACCATATGGCTATTGATCAATATAGACATGACAATCTTACAGAAAAGATCCAAAATGATAACCTTAAACTTGTTATTCACGTTTCCTTGATGCATGCTAGGATTTCTTTATTTTTCGTTATGCATAGTCTAGTTGTAGATTAACTCTATTGTATGTGTTTTGTTATCCGGATCCTACAACAAATATAATGGAAGAAGAGAAAACAATGTCTATCAAAGTTCGTAGTCCCTTATGCAACTTTGAGATGTTAGAGGGAAAACTTTTGGGCTTTTCATGAGAAGGACCCAAAAGTTCGGGGTGTTTTATGAAATTTAACTACCCCAAAGACTATAGCTAAAGATAAACAAACGGCGGGGCGATTGCAATATATTTATTCAGCAATTCTCCCCTCTATTACTTCCAATGGGCATAAAATATTTACGTACTTGTTACGGGTAAATTTCATTAAATCCCGATGAAATTTAAGCATTTTGCAAGAGGCGCCCAATAAGTTCTAAAATTACACCCAGCTTTCAATATGTATTTGGATTGTTAAAAATAAAAAGGATTGTTAAAAAAATCTCATTAAGTTTTTGCATTTTGCAAATGGCCCTCGTAATTGTTGTGGGTCCAACCCAACATAAAGCCCACATGAAGTCTACATGAATTAGAATTCTATTTAGAAGTGGATTTGGATGATCTATTTAAAATAGAAATAGGTTTGTAGAACTCTATATATGAGAAACCTGTCATTTATTTTTTTGGATGAACAATAACCTGATACTACAGTAATCCGAGAAGAGAGAGAGAGAGAGAGAGAGAGAGAGAGAGAGAGAGAGAGAGAGAGAAGGGAGAAGAGAGAGAGAGAGAGAGAGAGAGAGAGAGAGAGAGAGAGAGAGAGAAGTTCAGATTCCGGATCGCTCGGTTATCCGATTGCAGTGATTCAAAAGACATTGTCTTCAAAACGACGTCGTCGTCGAGGGTACGGTGCTGGTTTCTCCATGAGTGTTAGAGATTTTTGGTGAGACGGGTTTTAGCGTTTTGGTGTCCTAGAGGTAACATTGTATCTTTCTCTTATGATTTAATCCGCAAGTTCAGGTGTAACTTGGAGGAATTGAACTCTTGATTTATAGTAAAATATTTCTCTCTAGATTGCCCCATGGACGTAGACACGATTTGCCGAATCACGTTAAATTTTGGTGTTTGCTTGCTTGTGATATTTTTATCGGTACCGTTATTCGTTTAGTGTTTAATTCCATAGATTAATCTTCATAAAATTCCCAACAAGTGGTATCAGAGCCCTGGTTCAAGGCGTGCTTTGGGATGGAAAAGATGAAGAGTTTTGGCACAATGATAAAATTGGATGGTTCGAATTGGCAAGTATGGAAGTCTAAGATGAAAGATATTTTGTATTCTAAAGATTTACATGACCATATTGAGGGAGATAATGCCAAGTCAAAAAAAATGACTGATAAAGAATGGGAGAAACTATACAGGAAGGTGATCGGTTATATTCGGATGTGGATCGATGTTAGTATGTTTCATCATGTATCGGGTGAGACTAATGCAAAGTCTCTTTGGAAGAAGTTTGAGGATCTCTACGAGAAGAAGACCGCGGAAAACAAGACGTTTATTATGAAGCGGTTGGTGAACTTGAAATTCAAAGAATGAAGCAACATAGCAGGGCACTTGAATGAGTTCAAGAGTTTGATTAATCAGTTAGCTACCATGAAGATGACTATCGATTATGAGGCTTTATAGCTATTGGTTTTTTTGCCAGAATGTTGGGAGACACTGGTTGTAACAGTCAGCAACGCAGTTCCATATGGTGTGTTATCGATGAGTATGATTACTAGTAGTTTATTCAATGAAGAGACTCGGAGGAAGTCTAGCAGCACAGATAACACACAGGCACTTATCACGGAGAATAGGGGCAAGAGCATGTACAGGGACCAGTCCAGAGGTCGTGGCACATCTAAGGGCAGATCAACGTATAAAGGGAGAGGTTGTTTTTATTATGGGAAGCCAGGTCATATCAAGAAGAATTGTTGGGCATTAAAAAAAGTGCAAGTTGGGAACAAAGATGAAAAGAAAGATGAGAAGAAGAAAACTGACAGTGACACTGCAGCTAGTTTGTCTAAGATCGATTTTATTCTCATTTGTAGGGAAGAAGACTGTATGCATGTTACAAGTCAGAATTTCGAGTGGATAGTGGATACAGGAGCTACATGTCATGCTACCTCCAATCGAGACATTTTCACATCGTATAAAACAAGTGACTTTGGCAATGTGAAGATGGGTAATACCAGCTACTTAAAGATTATAGGACTTGGTGATATACACTTACAGACAGATACCAGATGCATATTGATCTTAAAGAATATGCGGCATGTTCTCAATTTGCGGCTCAATTTGATTTCGAATCTTACTTTGGACCGAATGGGATATGAAATTTAATTTGGTGGAGGAAAATATAAGATTACCAAAGGCTCTCTTGTGGTGGCTAGAGGAAGCATATGTTGCAATTTATACAAGACTCAAGCGAAGGCTTTGTAGGGTCCAAAAAAATGTATGATTGAATCTCTTGTTTTAAGAATAGGTTCGATCACTTGGTACGAATCCCTTACAATCACTCACTCTCTCTATTACAGAGGAAGAGAATATATATTTGACTTCTCTTTTATTTGAGGTGGATTCTAGGTGGCGAGAGGATTCTTCACTCGATGCTTGAGTCAAGATTGCTTCCCGTTGACATTCAGAAATAGATCACAAGAGCTTCTGATAATGACTTAGGCTGTACGGACCGAAGTTTGGGTCTTAGGCTTGTGCACGAGAGACTCGCTTGGTGTGGACGTCAAAAATTACATATGGATTCCTGCACGTAGCTCGAGATAGAGAGAAGATTATGAACGTTATTATCCGAGTTAAGGAAGATTATCTAACACCGACAAGCATATGAAGTGAGTTGATGAAGCGTACAAATTAATGGAATGATAGAATAACAAAGAAATGATCCGATCGAGAGTTACGTTTCACTCACGAAAGACGAAGCATCACTCATGTCTCATCCACTCCATGTGTGATTCACTATAGAAGATTGTATATCTCTTCTCTGGCTTTCCAATGCAATTTGGATCACCTCATTCTGAGATCGAACGTGAAAGTTAGAGCCAAAACAACCGAGACGGTCCAGGCTGTTTCACACCTACAGAACATCAGTGATGACTCACATATTTTAGCCATGATGTGGTTTGAATCTTAAGAATCTCAAAAGATAAAAGCTATAGATCTCTTCATCAGCTTTCCAATGCATCTTGAATCAATTTATTCCGAGGTTAGATAAGAGAGTTAGAGGTAAAACAACGGAGGGATACCAGTCGAGCCGAGACACAATTTGTGTCTCGGGCAGCCAAGACATAGAAGCTGACTCAGGCCTCAAAAATATTATTTTTGCTATTTTTCGCTGTTTCTTCGATGTTAACTGCTCGGATTCTGATCCAAAGCCTTAAAGCTATCTTGCGACGTGATTAAGTGGTTATAACTGAAGATAAGAGGGAATCGGCTGTTCTTATATGAAAACCAAGCTCCTGAACCCTATAAATACAACCCTAGGGCCTTCATTTGCACAGATCCAAAACTATTGAACCTCGACAAAGCCCTGTCGAACTGAAGAGTGAGGAGCATGAATTTTAGAGAGGAGAAAGAGGTCTCAGCGAGCTATTCAGCATAAAGAGGAAGAGTTCGAGAGATCTCAATCTGTTCATCCATTTCCTTGAGATCGTACCTAGCTGTGATTCTTAAGAAGAGTGATTATCTCGCTTTACTGAGATAGTTACTTTAGTTTATTGTCTCCTTTGCGAGGCAATAAAATCTATATTGGATCTGATCAGTCGGTGGTCCACGGATAAACCCCGGTACAGGCTAAGATCTCATGCAAGCAGCGGGTGATAAACGTCTATTACGTGTGTTTTAAAAAAGTTATAATCTTTTGTTTTTTTTTGAATTCATTATAACGACTGAAATTGTAATGAGTCCACTAATGAAAGTACCAACTTTTCTATCAAAACACGCTGGCGACTACAGTGGGAGCCAACAACCTCGTTGTCGAGGCTGTCGTGCCACAGCTGCTGATCAAGATCCCTATGGATGAAGAGGTCGAATATGAGTTCGACCAGCAAAAGTTCAATGAGTACATCTCCTCCTCATCCTCTAGATATTCCTCTCCTTACTAGCGCAGGAAGACCACTTCCCTCAAGAAGGTTCGTTGGTCTTTAGATCTGAGGACTCAGGGTGACAATATTTACCCAAGTGTTGTTGAAGACTCCTCCTCAGCGTCCAAAGAAACTGGATCTGGTGCTCACCCCAACTCCTCAAAAGTCAAGGAGTTGCCCGCTGAAAGCGCACCAGTGCTAACGAAGATGGCTCGTCAGAGCGCCACCAACGTCTTGCCCGACAATTCACCAAGGTTTTGGAGCGGGTGGACGGACTATGCTACCAAATAGATCTAGAGTTTAGAAGGCGCCAAGTGGCTAAGCTGTCGCCACAGCAAGCATCGGGGTCCTTCTCCCAACCACGGACTAACAAATGGGTTCGTGTCAAACTAATCTGTTCTACTCTTGAGGAACGCATCCAGAAGCACCGTACACTCCTTACGCATTCACAGATCCTTGTACAAAAGGCACAAGAATTATAAAAGAAAGAGGTGGTCAAAGAATCACCAAAATCAAAATAAGTTTGGGTGCCAAAGGCCAAAGTAGAGCCTAAAATGGCACCAAAAATAGCCAAGATGCCCCCCCGCTTGGGAAGAGACACCAGTCATGTCTCTCACCGAATTCGGTCTCCAAGGCTGCTTCCAAGCCTCCGTCAGCCTCCGATCCCACTCCTCTTGCTCCTGTTCCTCTGGTGAAGCCTTACGGCAGCGTAGATCTCTTCAAATTCAGAATTCCGTTGAAGGATCGCCTTGGTCCCCTACACCGAGATCAAAGCAAAGATCCTGTTAAGGAACACTTTGGTCTGCTGAATAATTCCTGAACAACTATTCAGACTGGGGGTCGTACGTGCCCTCCTAACAAATTGATTCCAGGAACCACTCGCTTAGGGGTTCGTGTGGAAGACCGGGAGCCCGTTAGGATTCCACCTGCACGAAGGTGTAATTATAAACGTGTGACTCGTACGAACGCCAACAAGGCATTACATCCTCAGAAGAAGACGCGTCCGTTACATGACAACGGCATACCTGGGGAATCAAATTAACAGCCGATAGGTTGCTCCGACCACAATGTTGATGAGTTGTACTATCAGGCTGGGGGTATGAATAAATCTCAAAAGAAAAGTACCCCAAAATTAGAGTCACACTGCCCTTATGAGAGGTTAATCATGGCAGTCTTATCAGAGTGGAGCTATCCCAAGATTGCTCCACAGAGGTTCTCGGTATTCCAAAGGCTTTCCATTGAAGCGTCAAAACCCAAATCAAGATGCTCCCGTAAAAGAAGATCAGCCATTCAAGATGACAAACTCCTAGAAGTCACCATCAACATGGCTGACAAAGGAAAGTCTGTGTTCAATTCGAATAACGCTAATCCCGACTTTTCTCCGGGATGAAAAGTCAATTCAGGAATAGTCCGATGGGTGTCTCAGCTCCAATTAGAAGCTGTCAGTAATGGGGATTACCCGAGGATGCATGAAGGACTATCTTCAGAAGATAAAGTTTCAAATACTTACTCCGCAACCATCTCCAACGATATAATGTCTAGCATGGGGTAAGCTCGAGAAGTATTCATGATCACTACCGAACAAGTGGCTCAACTTCTTCAAGAAGTCTTGGCCAAATAAAAAGAAGATTTTAAAATTAAAATAGAGATGGCCATGCAGTAGGTCAAGGATTTACATGTTCAACAACTTCAGGAGCTGTCAAATCAGCACTCCAGTCATTACCACACTACCAATCAGATAGATAGCGACTCAGAGGTAGAGGAGACTATCAATGCCAATGCTCCTCCCAATGACAAAGATGTTGGGGGTGGCCCTGACAATAATATCAACACTAGGGGTGGCCCCAATAATAATACCAACACTAGGGGTGTCCCCATCACTAATGACAACACCGAGGGTGATCACATCGTTCGTCCTCAAAATCATCCGAAGAAAGATACAGGCAATGACGAGATGATGAAAGAGCTAGAGAATAAGGTCAATGCCTTAATGTCCACTTAAGAAGTGAGGAAACGAGCATTCCGTGCCTGTATCCAAGAGAGTGGGATTCAATCTCGTACTCGACGAAGTTCACCCTAATTAACTTCACGCCATTCGACAGGAGAGGCTCGCCCACTCAACACCTTATCTATTTCAAGTCTCATCTGGGAGTGATCTCCGGGAATGAACCACTGATGATCCGATCATTCGTAGGCACCCTTCAAGGGGACGTCTTTAATTGGTATTGACGTCTCAAGCTAAGGAGCATCAACTACTGGGACGATATGAAAAGCTCATTCCTCAGTAATATCTTTGATGATGACACTGAAGTGTCAATTGAAGATCTTCTAGATGAGAAGCAAGAAGACGGAGAATCAGTTAACACCTTCGTCAAACGCTTCTGAAACAAGACGATGAACTGCCGAGATCCTGTCACAGAAGAGTTCATACTCCAGAGCCATCATAATCTCTCCCTCGAT